AAAACCATGGAAAGATGATGGAATACTGAATGTGGATACCTCAAGAGGAAGTGCAGGTTGGTCATAAATCGATAAGTAGCTTCCTTGGCGGTCCTGAAGATCTCCGAGGTTGCGAGATATAGCTCCAACAACAGCTCCCAAACCCTGCAGTAATAAGTCAAGTCAGGGACAATTTTATTCGTTTTTATTTTCAGTTGGTTGCAAATATCACTAGTAAGTGTTTAAATGAGCTTATATGACAGACCTTATAAGCTCTGACACTTGAGATTTTTCAGATATTGTTATAAGATGATAGATATTATTTTGAGATCAAGTTTCGGACATGTTGGATAAAGTAAGATGATTGGGTTTTTAGGATAAATAGTAAAAATAAAAATAAAAGAAATTTGTTAATCTAAGATTTTATAAAATATAATAAAGTTGGATTATTTAACTTCTTAGAAGACATTTGAAAGACTTCATCTTATTTTTGGAGCTCATATGAATATGATCTTTTTCCTAGACAGCTTACCGAATACTTTTGAAGAGCATGTAAATTGTAAATTCTTTGAATGGTCTTTGTCAAAACAAGAGTTGCTTTCTGTGGAATTTCCCATATATATATATAAATATATATATATGTATTATATAAGTGCACATATATATGTATTATATATGTATTATATATATATATTATATAAGTGCACATATATATGTATTATATATGTATTATATATATATTATATAAGTGCATATAGGATTTGGTTCAAATGTAAACAATTCCTAGAAAATATGAATGTGAATCCAAATCCTAGTCATTAAGATAAATTTAAATAAAATGGATTAACTAGTTAAACAAAAATGAACAATGATACACATCCTTCTATGTGTATGTTAATAGACATATAACTGCAATCGATACATTTCGAAATGTGCATTAAATTGTTGGCGATTGACTATATTCTAAAAGATGTACAAACAGAAGGATGCATGTATCATTGTACATTTTTTGTATTATTCAATATATTCCATTAGATCTAACTTCATTTGAATGGCTTGGGTTTGGCCTAGTATTCCTAATTGAAGAAGTGGTTCTCATTTGAAAAGCTTGTAACATCTTATTTGAAGCTTTTGAGATTGATTTCTGACACTAATACCAGAGACTTCTCAAAAGAACTCAGAGAAACAAGCTCTAAGACTCACTAATGATGATGAGAAATAAAAAATATTCGCAACAGTAAGATCCTTCATTAATATTGAGGAATCAGAAGAACATGAAAGTAGATGCAGATGGATCTGTTGCATTGTATATTACCACATGCTTGAAGACCTGCTGAAGCTGGGAATAGGGATGGCTGGCGCGAGTTTTGACATAATAATCAGTGAATTTATATCCTAAACGCTTGTCAAACTTTTTAAGGATCTTCCGCAGACCAATGGCATTCATTTCAACGAAAAAGAGAAGTCTTAGAAGATCCTGCCCAACTGCCCTGTAGGCTTCTCGTAGCTCACATAGTTTGGATATGTCAGGCTCTTCCTGAAGAGCCTCTTGTTGTTCACCAAGCTTCGCAATCCGGCTGGCAATTAGGCCTTGCTGTTCCAACATAAAGAGAACAATTTTCTCTATCTGCAAGGCAGCAAGCCAATAATGTAAGCATCACAATAACAAATTGATACAAACACAAATTTGAGACCAGCATAATTGTTTTTTCCTAAAGCACATTAGTTAAACACTCTTTGACTTGCCTTTCCTTAACCATGCCCAGATTACTTAGAAACTCTAACAGCACTAGCAAAGATCCAAGACACTGGAAGGACATAAAGATCTTACATTATATATATATATATACACATCGGTCGACAACTGCATATATGTTACCTGAATATCCAGCATTCTTGAGAAGTCCTTGAGAACATGTCGACGATCTAGTGCTCCAGCTTCAATTTGATTAGCATACTGCTTCAACTTTTTCTTCATTAATTTGTAATTGATATAATATCTGCATTGCACCACCAAAAATAATGCAAATTATTCCGTGCAGTAAGAAAAAATACAAGCAATACACTTATTTATAGCAGTTTGTTGTAATCTTTCAAGCATCCAATTCATTTACACAACTTATTATAGCTACGTTATTAGCCTAAGAATCTAACACAAATCCTTCATTGCCACTAAATAAATGCACATGCAATAGATATGTCCCACAGGAATACTATTTCTGGCCATAAGAGCATATCAATCACACTACAATTCAAAGGGACCTTTCAATTCCTACAAATTGTATGCCTTAGATAATAGCTAGGATGCCAGGATCTTTGACATTTTTGGATGCTTTCTAATTGTTCTATTATGCAAATAAAATGTTTTGAGATGGAAAACTGACTTAAATGGATACTTAATGCCATACCCTTGCCATTCTTGAATTTGCCTTTCCTTCAGCTTTTTTCCAAAGGCAACCATCGTGGTCTGCAATATGACAATCAAAAACTTGGATAAGAATCTTAAGAAACTGCATTTTCCCACTTTCTCAAACAATCTGAATGCTAGATAGAAGCACAATTGCACAACTAAGTAACCAAAAGAAACCAAAAAGAGAAGAAAGAAATAAAATCTCCATGGATTACTTCAAATTGGAAATGACGATTTACGCCTCAGAAACAGAAACTATCCACTCAGACAATTTTATATGTTTGTCATGCACAACACTGACTGGTCAAGATCTTTTGCAACCAGCGTATATGATGACAAACCTTCAAGATAGATCACAGAGACACAGCCAAAGAGTCCTCCCAGAGTCCCAGTTCCTCTCAGTTGCGACCAGATGAAATTAATTCGGAAACTTCCTTCACAAAGTCAGAGAGCCAAATGCTACAAATCTCAATTAAAGTCTTCTGACATCATAGACACACCCATTTCCTCTTCCCTTGTTTATTAAAAAGATAAAAGTATTGCACCTTTGCAACCCATTGTTGCCCTTTTGTATTGTGCAGGAGCAAAATAGAAACAAATCTTGGTGAATAATAAATATCGTTCTACACTGTTTTTCAGAGGAACTTTAAATCAATGTTGACGAGTTTGAGGCTGCCCCTTTTAGACCTCAAATTAGACCATACCAAGAAAAAAAAAAACAGCAGAATTTGAATCAAGAAAAAGGGGAACAGGCTCATCTTTGTTGACACAGTCTCCCACCAATCGGCTACAATAAACATACCCACCACAGATCTCATTGAACATATCTTTTCATCACATCAACAACTGAAATTCCCTGTTACCATCAACAAAAGCAGACTCTTCTACACCCCATAAAAAATGCCAACCCCAAAAAGTGGCTCTTAAGAAAATGAATATAATTATCAAATTATACTAAGAACATGAAACCTAAGCATATTGTAACAGAATCAAAACTCATTCATCAGAACACACAACAATGCACGTGTATTGTGCACACATTACGAATGCCCGTACATGCAAAACGAGTAGTAGTAAAACTGGTTCTTTTTAGCAATTGAGGAACAGGGGCCTCACCGTAGGATTCACCGGCCGCCGGAATTTGTGCCCGGAATTAGAATAGCTAGTGCGAGATTCTCACGGGTCTTCTACGAAGATTCGAAAAGCTGACGATCACGAAGAAGGATTTTCAGAAGCCTAAACATACACGCAGGTACACACTTTCGTGCGTGTGTGTGTGTGGGTAGTGAGATATATAGGTGTGATGTTCGTTTGACAGATTCAATTAATGTTAAAAAACACAGATCAGCTAAAATGATTGATTGGAAATGTTGTTTCTTTCGTTTTCGCTTATTAAGAATTGGAATGTTAATCACGTGCCGGTGCTTTTGGCTGTCAAGGGACCGTTTTATAATTATTGGGTTAGTTGTTTGTTGTGAAAATTTATCGGATGACATCACTTGTAGTAGAGTAATCTGAAATTACTGGTCAACTATGTATCTGACATGTATAGCAATATAACTACATTTAAGAGAAGTGTCAATTTATATATATAATTGTAGGTAAAAAAAATGATTTTTTTTTTTATTTTCCACTTTTTTAAGATTAATTATGGTAATAAAGCAATTTTACATCAATTATGTAATAATTTTATTTTTGTTTAATTATTTTATTGTATATTAGTTACTTACCATTCGTACATCTCTCGCACATACTTTACAATATGCACTTGTTTAAATTATGACACGTGTCCTTTTACTTCCTTTTTTTTTTTAAAAAAAAGCTCATTAATTACACTATTAAATTACCCTTACATAAAAACTAATGAGAAAATAAAATTATATAGTACTCGAACTTTATCTTATTATCGCTGGTGGCATTCAAAATTTTCACTTAATTAGTTCTTCTAGCAACCAAAAAATGGCATAAAATTAAGGAAAAAAATTGTAGAAAATATCATTTTGAACTGAAGGCTCATATGGTTCAAAACATCAAATTGATTAAGGCTTATTGTTGCCCATGAAAAGAGGAACAAAATAAGAGTTCACCCATCAAATTTGGACAACCGAGTTGCCGTCAGTTGAAATATTCATCGCGCAATGTCGAAAATCTAAGAACTTCACTTGTGTTTTTCTGATTATATAAAGGTCCGATTGACGATAGGGAGATACTGTTGAATTCCATATGAAAAGAGTCTGATCTCTAGTGATATTCCAAAATAATTTTTGCTTGTTTTTTTTAACTCTAATAATGATTTAACAAAGTTTGAGGTATCGTATGATGAAATTAAATATATCGTTGAATAGATCGAGTTGAGGTTTCTAAAATAATATATTGATTTTTTAAAATTCACTAATGGTAGAAGCACGACAAACGACGGTTAATGGTGGTAGCCGAGACTAAGATGGTCGGATATTAAATTTTAGTACGCTTTCAATCTAATTATCCTATATTTTAGTTATTTGTGTTATATAATTCATGAGCTAGAATTAAATACAATATAAGTTTCTAATGAAACAAATTAAATTATAATTTAAATTAAAGTAAGTGTATTATAGATATTTCACATGTAAGACATACTTTTTTGGTTTGTACATTAATTATAGGATTGATATTAATGTTTTGATCAATCTAAGATGGAATGATGGGATACCAATTGTTACTTGTTAGGTATGTAAGAGCCTTACCTAACCCTAGAAGGTCCTAGTTATTATTGAAACTAACTATATTCCACACCACATTAATAGGAATATGGAAGTTACATTGTAAATATAAAAAACTATACTACAATTTTTTTTTCGAATTATTATTATAAAAACAAATTTTATCTTTTTTTTTTGCACATCTCATTAAGTGATTGTTTTCTAAAGAAAATAAACCAATTGGTTTTAATAATATAGTAAAACCCTTTAGATTATATAAAAAATTGCGATAATAATAATTTTAATAAATTTTGGCTAATTAATTATTCATGATCCCTCAAAATTATAAATGATACATTATTCATTATATTTTCATGCAATCAATATAACGATTCATATGTTGTTAAAGTGTTTATAGTGATTAATTTGACTTTACTGATGACCAAATTTTTAAAATGTGATACAATTTTCTAACTTATAATTTTAATATTATGTGCATACGTCAAAGTTATAATATATCATTTATATATGCGCATATTACAATCGGCCCCATATATATTTACATATGCAGGACTAATTGGCTTAATAATAGTTGGTTGAGACGATCATTCATATTCTTTAATACAAATTATATATATTGTGCAAAATGCTATAGTTTTGATTGGTAGTATGTCATTTTCATATTAAATCATTTATATATGTTGTAATTTTATATTTTTGTTTATATAAACTAGTATTCCACCTGTGCATTTGCACAAATATAAATTAATTATTATGAGTCTGTATGCATATAATGATTAATTATTTTTCTTTCACTTTTTTGCAAACCAAATTTACAATTAAAAGAGTTGGAATATTTTTTTTTTAAATTGCGTTTATCTGATTGGATGTAATGTATATTTTGGTACATCTTTTATTTGTGAATTATTTATTATTTATTTAGGAATTTCAAATATATTTTTTATTTAAAAAAAAAATTAAATGTAACAATAATAATAACATCTAATCTCATTATACGGTCAACACATTATATGGTCAACTGTTATTAATAAAAAATTTAAAATAATTTTGTAATTTTGAAGTGATGAGTATTAATTATTTAATGATTAAATGAAAGATTAAATACATCAAAATGTAACGGTTTTTGGAGGAAAAATTGTTAAATTACCACATAGGTAAAATTAAATAAGTTTTATTAAATGTTTTGAGCTAGTAATTATATATATATATATATATATATAGATGTGTGTAGTATGCCATTTTAATATGAAATCATTTATATATGTTGGAAATTTGTGAGTATCAATCATTAAAAGATATGATAAAAACTTTAATAGCATATTCATCATATATTTAAAGTCTCTTATTTTAGTATTGTGTAATGATATATATAACAAACAATGCAGTCATATTTCTTAGGGCTTGTTTGTTCATTAATTAAGTTATCAACAAAAAAATTCAATATCAACTCAAAATCTAACTTAATCTGGACTCAAATATACTATCATCAACATTATTAATATAATTAAATAATATTAATAAATTATTTTTACACGTCACATCAACTTTAGTTTACTATATATTTATTCACTCACATAATTTTTACTACTTATCACATTTCATAATATCTATTCTACTCTTACATTAAATCAAATTTAATAATTTTATTTTAAATATTATTTTAATCTCACTGAAAACTAATCAAACTATTTTTTTAAAAAATTAATTATGGTAAAAAACAGTAAAAACAAACCCTTATTTAGAAGGTTGCGTTACGTAAAAACAAAATGCAGCAACCTAAAATCGTGTACGCCTTCGCCGAAATATATATATATATATATATATATATATATATATATATAGGATGTGGTTCAAATGAGAACCAAGTCTTAGTGTGAGAACCGTGAGAACTGCTATTTTTAATTGTGCGTGGTGCTATGATTGATTGTGTTTGGTGCTATTTTTAATCAGGATATATTTTATTAAAAATAGCAACACAATTTATGTTAGCATTTGTAAAAATGATAGCACCATGTGAGATTAAAAATAGCATCATACACAATTAAAAATAGCATCAAATATGGTTCTCACGGTTCTCACACCAGGACTAGTTTTTATTTGAACCAACCCCTATATATATATATATATATATATATATATATATATATGGGCTGGTTCAAATAAAAACTAATCCTGGTGTGAGAATCGTGAGAACCATATTTGATGCTATTTTTAATTGT